TCTACTCAAAGATGGAACATAAAGTACTTCTTTAAGTCTAAGTACAAAACCATTATTCAATTCTAAAGAAAAAACTCCAATGGCTTCAACACTGGCTTGCACTCCATTTGCAACTTTAATCGTTCTTTCTCCTCTTTGCAAGGTTCTCGTCCCACTTAATCCCTGTAAGGAATTTGCAATATGAGTAGTTGCTCCTGAATCAACCCACCAAGTGAATTTATCATAACATAAATACAGGGATTTATCTACAAATGTAATAAATTCATCACCTTTCTTTAGCAGAGATTTCAGGAAGTCTGGACAATCCCTCTTGTAGTGTCCCTTCTTGAAGCAGTGCTTGCACTGATCTTTTTCAGCTCCACCATACTGCTGATTCTCAGAATCCTGGGGTTTCTTTCCCTGTGAATTGGAGGAAGAGGCCTTATCCCACTTAGGTTTCCCTTGTGATTTAGAATTCTTGCCATTAAAGTTCTTTCTTTTGTTATCCTTCATAAAATGAGCGAATTCACCCTGTGAGGACTTTATCCTCTTCTCTTCTTGAGCACACATTGAGATGAGTCTTTCTATGCCTCATCTTTTAGGCTGCATATTGTAATTCACAATGAAGGTGTCATATTCTTTTGGCAAAGAAGCAAAAAATCAAATGAATCAGGAAATCCTCCTTCTTTAAATTCATTTCCTTTAGCTTAGATGATGTAGTGTTCATCTTCAAAATGTGCTCTCTTATGCTACCACCAGTGAATTTCTCATTCACAAGCTTCTTAATCAGTGAACTTGCTGTGGCCTTGGTAGACCCAGTAAACTGACTCTTGATTTTCTCAAGATATTCTTTGGCAGTAGCACATTCAGGGATTGAGCCCCTTATTTGTTCTTCTATGGTGGCCTTGGCCACCAACAGGCACTTGCGGTTGGAGAGAGTCCATTGCCTATATTCAAGGTCATATTTCATTCTTATTTCAGCATGATCACGCTTTCGAGCAGCGAAATCAGCGTCAGATTCATTTTCACCTCTCACTGGGTCCTCTGGCTCAGTAGGACACGGTGAGGTGATGGCAAAATCGACCTCTCCCAACGCAAGTTTCAATTCATACTTCTCCCACCACACACGGTGATTGGTCCCATTGAGTGTCGGGATGTTGGCAATGTTCACAATGCATTTGCCTCCTGAAATCACACCAGAGTAAGTAAGAAACATTTATACATAAAATTTCATGCTTTAACTCAACGTTGGTTAAATTAAAACTTATAATTCATCCATGCAAACATTTTACATCACCGTTGGCCAGAAGTAAAATTAATGCATAATTTCTCATAGATCAAAATTATAATATTGTTATTGACAACGTTGGTCAGAAAATAACATCATAATCTCATCAAAAAAAATTATCAGAAATTCATCACTTCTCTTAAAATTAAATTATCCCGTTGGTTTAAATTTAATCAAAGAGAACAATAATTATCATGCACAGCGGAAACATTAATAATCTTTTCATATTATTATTTTTCCAGAAACACTAAGTACTTTACTGTTTTCTAGCAAAATATCGTTGGATAAAATTTGCACAGAAAAAATTATATCAAAATCATTCAAATTCATCAAAAAATATGCATTAAAATTGCTCCAGGAAAATAATAACAATTTTTTTTTCTTTTCATTTCAGCCCAGCGTGGCCCGGCCAGCAGCGCGCGCTGCAGCGGCCCAAAACAGCCCAACGTCCGCGCGCTCGCGCTGTCCCGCGCACTCCCCCGCGCCCAGGCCGCAACCTAGGCCTGGGCCGGAAATTCGGCCTTGCGCGCTCTCCCGCCTGGGCCGTGACGCTGGCCCGCGCATCTGGCGCCGTTCGTCCCCATCGGACGGTTGTTCGTTTCCATCGCGGGATCAAAACACGTCGGCCACCGAAAAACCAAAACCCTAACTCATTTTCTTTCCACCCCTTCGCCTCTCCCAGCCGATTCCAGAGTGAGGGAGCAGCAGCGGTGGAGTCCACGGTGGCCGGAGGAAATCGGCGCCGCCGCGGGCCCCTTCGCCGGCGGGCGTGCTCGCCCGTGGCTGAGCACGTCGCCGTCGAGTGGCCTCACGGTGGTGCCCTGCACCCGCACGCCACGAGGGTGGCCTCGGCTTCATCCCGCACGCCGGTGCGGGTACGGGGAAGTACCGCACGGCGGCGGTCTCTTCCTCTCGGCGAGGGCCGACGGCTCGTTCTTTGTCCCGCGCGGTGGGGATGCCGCCGGCGGGATGAGGGCCCAGGTAGGACCCCATTCTTGATTCATGTTAGGGTTAGGGTTAGGTTGACCGATTTGAAATCGGTTCGATTTGATTTCTTTCTTTCGCCCGATTTGAAAACGAATGTCCATGTTCTTCTTTCTATTTCCTTTTTCCCGATCCGCATCAGATCGGTCAGTTTCATTTCATTTCTTACCCCGATCTGGTTTCTTCTCTAACCTAGCTCCGATACCATTGTTAGATTTCTTAGGACTCAATCGAGTCAAGTTCACCAGATCGGGTACACAGAATAGGAATACATGTTCAAGATTTACAGTATATACATAAAACCTAATGCATGAACTACAGAGATATAAAAGGAAGAAAAGGGGTAGGTGGAGTAGGAAGTCGCAGACCATCGAAGGCCGTAGTGGTCGAAGCAGTCGGAGTGGTGGAAGCGCCGGCCGCGACCTCGTTCGCGGATGCCATCTGCGCGCCGGTAGCGACGTTCGGTGGAGAGAGGAGTCGGTGCAGTGGCGTCCTTGGCGGCGGCGTGTGCGTCGGGGTGGCGTTGCCGGCGTCGGTGGTGCTTCCCATCGCTGACAGCGCCCCTTCTCAAGATCGGGTTAGGGTTAGGATGTCGGTGGAGAGTCTGGCGGCGCGGTGAACGTCGTACAGCGAGCTCCGGCCCCCACCTTTCCTTTATAGCGCTGTGCGATGGGGGCCCACCAACCGTGTAGGGTTGGGCGCCCCCGATCAGGGCGCGAGAACAAGGCCCAAAGGCCGTTGGGCCTAATGGCGTGGCAGATCAATCCAACACACCCACATATAGGCATATACATGCACAGGAAGGCATCAGAACAAGTTACATGCAAGATGGCGAAGTCACACGCGTCAAGCTAAGTCACACGCTGATGCATCTAGCTTTGAGGCATTATGAAAATTGCAGGATTTGGGCGATGATTCTTCACCCCGGCTGACCATGGGAGGTTCAGGTCAGGAGACAGGAGAGGACAGGGTGGTGTTGTTCATGTGATGGATTCTCTTCTACCACGGGCAGCACATTTTAAGCGCAGATGAGGTTTCTATCTTCTTCTGGTTCACTGTCTTCCATGTCGTCGTCATCCAACTAGACAACATCGTGGGTAGTCAATTGATGAAAATATCTACTATCTCGCGCAGGAAGTGGTTTTCACAGGCATTGTTGAGTTTTCCTATGCCAGCTTCGATTTCTTGGCCGACAATATGTCAATGTCTCCTGTTGCATGCAAATCTGTTCCACCAATGGGTTGTCCAGTGAGATTATTTCAGTATAACATGGAGAAAATACATTATACTCATCAGTTCACAGATACAACACCATGTTCTATATACCATAGTTTAAAGGATGCAGTGATACTTTTTACATGTTCTTAAGAACAAGCTGATCGTAATTTTTCAAAAAAAAAAGGAACAAGCTGTTCAGATACTATTTTTCACTATAACATGGAGAAAATAGGTTAATACTCATAAACACCATGTTCTATTTTTCACTATAACAAGGTGTTGTTAAGAACAAGCTGACAGTACCAACAATTTATAACTAATATGAAACAGATATGGGACTCAAACTTCTATCTAAATATATGTAATGCCGAATTTTTCAAAAGAAGCAGAGTACTGCAAAATTGACCCTTTCAGGTAAGTGTTCAAAAATGACATGAGCATTAACAACAACTTATTTAATCTTAAGATTCACATGTAGTAATATTAATTTATTGGTTTGATGACGAATTATCACCTATTCAATGTTCTTGATGAATTGAAAATCAAGATGTATGTAATTCATAAAGATATTAAAGATGATAACAAAAAAGTTTCCACTTAATAAACTGGGCCGGCACTTGCCTTTGTTTTTTCTTCTTCTAATAAAATCAGCGGCAAAGCTTTTGATGTCCTTTCATAAAAAATGATAAGAAACAAGTTTGATCAGAAAGAAAATTACCCATGTCATCATCTTCTTCAGTTTTCCCCTTTCTGCTTTGTTTCTAGCAAGAGCTTGTTCTATACTTCTAGTTGAGTGCATGTCTGCTGCGGCAAAATCTATATCGATTTAACAGATTTTTGTTCACGGAGCAGAAGTTTTGCTTTAGCAGCCATTGCATTAGCAACCTGAAACAATTTATAGGAGGAAAGACAAAGGGGTCATTTCTGGTAGATAGTAAAAAGAATAATCCATTACTTATCCGAAGCATTCATCTAACATCATAACTCGAAGCATTCATCTAACATCATAACGATCACGGAAAAGACAAAAATTATGTTTTCTGACAAAAAACAGTTTTGCTAATTCATTGTAAGCAGAGAAAAGAGCTTACTCTGCTAATCAGATGGCCACAATGCTTATGTTTCCATAATGCTACAAATCGTAAGAAAACAATAGGAAACTCCAGCACGTATCATTGTAAAATCTCAAAACTCATCTACACTACAGTCAACAACTCAGTAGATGGGCAAAGGAAGAAATAAATAGATTGGCAAAATAAAGAAATTGGAAATAAGCAGATGGGCAAACAAAGTAGAAACATTTCTTGGTAGAAAATACAAATATCTGTACTGAAGACTAATGCTGTACCCAACTTCATAAGATTAGAAAACAGAAAAATTGATGTTAATCAGACTGTAAGGACCATTAAATGTTGCAGGTTCCCCAACAAGGGACTCTGGTTTTCTACATAGAGGATGTATAATATCGTATTTGTGATCAAGATATATGCATGTGACACCTTACGTCGTCAAAAGCGTTCAGTTCAGTCTCCTAGGCTGCAGATCTTAATGGTGAGAGATCAGGGGTGCTGGGTGTATGTGTATCTACTGCTGAATTGGGCATATAAGAACTTGAACCAGCATGTTTCCTTCTAATTTGAATTTTCTTTGTTTCCTCAAGGATATTGGATGTTTTATTATCCACAATTGTGAGCCCATCCTGTTAAACAAAGGAAGCAAGAAATCATTAATTTACAAAATGGCTCCAAAGGATTATGTCATTTATAGAAAATAAAGAAACAAAAATATATGTACAGAGTTAAGTAGAACACATTACTTTCAAAGCATTTTTTTTGTTCTTCCACTAAGCTGGTTGATTGAAGCAGAAAGAGCCTCTAGTCTGATTCACTATGCAGCATCTCCTGCCTTCGGTGGTTTTCAGATGACCAACGAGAATTAGGGACCTGAAATCACAAAAAAAGTCATAGAGTCTCCTCATGCTATCCTTAGAGCAAAGCAGAAATATGAACCCCTCATTAATCAATGGCTAGAAGCTTATGTGTAATTCTTTAGCTTTTCTTTGTTTCTTTCTTCGTTTCGTGAACTTTTGTAGGACCTCTTTTATGTGTTTGAATAAAATCCCTAAAAAATCACAATAAAAGTCCCAAGAGCTGAAAAAGGAAAGGCAACCCAAAACTTTATAACTGAAGAGACAATGCCATACACGAGAAGTTTGTTGACTTATGACTGTCTCACCTAATCTTTGCTGGATGGACTGGTGTTGCTACGAGGTCATTCTTTTCTTGAGTCCTCAAACTTAGGCACCAAGTCATCCTTGTCGAGAATTCCCTTATTATCTTTGCTGGATGCACCGGTGTTGGGCTCATTATTTATGGTTTTTGAACGATGTTTAAGCGTAGGATGAAGCAGAGTCCTGCAAGGCAAACCAGCATATCATCACATCGTGCTGTGACAGAAACAAGGTGATTGTTGATTAAGCAAATGAAGGGCAGAACAAGAATTGAGAATAGTGGCTCCTCTTGTAACACAGAAGCACATGACAATCATTCATATCTACAAGCAAACTGAAAAAAAAAAAGCAATCCAGTTTGCACTGTGAATGATGTCATAAGTCGAGGAGCATAAGATGTTTTTTAACTAACCTGCAGATCCATGTGTGTGTGTGTGAAAGGCATGCAGAAGGTGCGATTCAGCTTTCCGCCTCAGACTGTAGTCCTGTAGTCTTGAACGATAGGCTTCGGAGAGATGTGAGGGAGCTGAAATTATAAATCGTAAATTCAGTCTACATAAATCACAATTCAATTTGCATAGTCAATGGAATCACAAATCGAGGAGCATAAGGGTATTTTGTTTTTTTAATTTGGAACTAACCTGCAGATCGATGTACACCGAAGATTTGAGCGTGGTGTGAAAGGCATGCAGAAGCAGAGGTTCAGCTTTCCGCGTCAGCAATGAAGGCACGTACATGTATATGTATATCTGGCCTCGTTCCCCTTAATTTCTGGCATTCCTCATAAATCTCGGGACTGCAATTATGTATGTCTAGCAGTCGCAGTGAATCGGGGAGGCCTTCCTTGGGCAGTGATCTGATTTTTTGAGTCCCCCAGATACGTAATTCCTGGAGAGAAGGAAGGCGATGCAACCCTTGGGGGAGGGACCGCAGAGCCCTGCAGCCATTGAACCACAGGATTCGGAGAGACGTGAGGAGCCGAAGCGCCTCGTCCTGCTCTTCCGTTAACTTCTCTGTCCGCCAATCACAATCGAAGGATAACCTCTGGAGGGTAGCGGAGAGGCGGCTGCAGATGGGAGCAACAAGCACTGCAGAGATACTGTCCACATAAAGGCACACCAGTTGGAAGGAACCGGCGGGCAATGTTTTGGTCCTTGCCACCACTGCAAGCAGATCTGCTGCTACAGAATAGGGCTCAGCCTCACCATCTCTCCGATTGTGCACATACAGATGCTCGAGGTTGATTGTGATGAGAGAAACAAACCCATCCACTGTGATATCCTTGCAATTAAATAGTTCTAGACTGGTAAGAGATGTGAGATTCGCGAGCAGAGCCATCGGCAGCGTGCTTACCTCACCCTCAAGGCTAAGTTTCTTGAGGGAAGGGGGGAGAGGGTAGATGATGCTCTGAGTCTGAACTCCTCCTCCTCCCATGGGCCACCGAGAGAATAGCTTGTTACAATTTATAATGGCCACGGACTCAAGCGACGAGATGCCACAGAACCCAACTCCTTCCTCTTCATCCACAGGCAGGATCAGATTCTTACACCCAACGAAGCGGACATTTCTCAGCGAGCTGGAGGGTGGAAACTGCAGTACCACCTCCTCATGATCCTCATTTGATGATGTGCTGACATCCAACCGAGAAAGAGCTGGGAAACATTCGAACAAATTTGACAAGGATTTTCTGGTAAGAGAAAATTGTCTGAGTTCGAGAGTTTGGACTGTGTGGAGCACAACACCATCATCCAGTCCTCTCAAAAAGGTTTCCTCACATCTACTGACCTCTATATATATGTCTTAGGGAATGTATCTTTTGAAGATCCATAAATGAGAAGCATGATTCATCCCAAATTGTCAACCTTTCTACATCACCAAGATTGTGGAAAACCAATTCAGAGGGCTTCCAAATGTTCAACGTAGTACGATAATAAGACAAGCAGTCTGTATCAATACTGGATACCATCGAAGTGTGAGGCATGGGAGGAAGGCACAACTTCGGGCATCTAAGAATGTAAAGATCACGAAGGCTAGGGAACCATTTAGTGTTGCCTTCTGAAGAAGAAATAGGCCAACCTGAGATCAGCAGTGTTGTTAGCATGGGACAACCAGTGCAGCTGATTTTTTCAAGCCTTGAGAACAGATGACAGTTAGCTCCCCCAACCCACTCTACAAGGTCTGGCATATCATAAAACTGAACTTCCATCAAGTGCGTGAAACTTTTTTCTGTAGTACCACCAAAGAAATCAGGTCCAATCTGAGATATCCCAAGAATGTTTTTCAGCTTCAGCTTTCTTAAGTGATACATCTGCCCAATAGGTGGAAGGTTGGCCCATGATACCCTCTCTAGATGTAGGGTCTCCAAGTTTCTCATGTATATGATGTTGCTGCACAACCAACTAGGACCAACAGAGCCACCATGATTTACAATGCAAAGTATTCTAATATTAGAGTGTGGCTTGAGACTATCTAGGATATCATCTCCAGTGGACTCTTGCTTACTGTTCCAAACTAATCCCAACTTCACTAAATTCCTCTTTTCCATCAGTTTGGCCTCTTCAGCTTCTTGGCTGGTTCTCACATTTTCAAGTCCAGATATCTTGAGCTCTCCTCCAAGCACTTCTAGTTTCCCCAACTCTCCTAGCTCAAATCCAACGCTCGCGTTCTTAACATGGAATTCTTTCATTTCTTGTAAAAATTTCATTTTCCCCACCTCAGGAACATTGGAATGAAATTGTTTCGTAGCAACAAAATGGAGTAGATTTTCAAGGCGGCTAATGTCTTTAGGCAAAGAATAACTACTTTTCCATTGGTTAAGATCTAGGAATTTCAAGTGATAAAACCTAGACACTGTGCTAGGCACACACACTTTTCCGTAATCAGGCGACATAAGTTTTAAGTATCGAAGATGGATAAGCTTTGAAAAGTTGTTTGGCAAGGAACTATGGGAGTTCGCGAATATAGATAAAACACGGAGACCTTTTATTTCCTTAAATGTGTCTCTTAAAACATTGACCAGGTGTAACCTACTGTATTATCCAAAAATCATCAAACTTTGCAATTTTTTAATGTCTATCCTTTCCTTCAATTTACCCATCCCTTCCTCGAAACTTTTAACATGAATATCATCATGCATGAAAATGGATAGGTAACGAATAGATTGTGGGATTTCATTTGCCTCAAAAGTAGAACAACTGATATAGGCACATTCTTCTAATGAAACTTTACGTGAAAGATCATGGAGTAAATCATGCATTACATAATTATTATCATCTCCTTTTATATGAAAACCATTATCTAATAGTTCATCCAGATAATCTGATCCTATGTCCTCAAATTTTTTATTCTGCTTAGGGTAATCTATGATGCCTATAGAATCCCAAAAACGAATAATCTCAAGCTTTCCAAATTTATAATCGTCAGGGAAAAGGGAAAAACACGAAAAACATTTTTTCAGATGGAAGGGAAGGTAGTCATAGCTAATTTTCAAGGCTGGGATAATATCATTGTCATGGTTTTCTTCTAGCCACTCTTTGTTGTCAAGAATTTTCATCCAAAGTTCCTGAAAGGGTTTCTTAATCAATAACCGACCAACTGTTTTGGCTGCAAGTGGGGAGCATTTCAGCTTATCTGCTATTTTCCTTGCAATACCAATTAACTCTTGATCACCATGCTCATCTTGGATTCTACCAAATGCACATATTTGGAAGAATTTCCAAAACTCATCAGGATCCAAACCACGGAGGTCAATTGGATTAGATTCTTTTGTCACCATTTCTACAATTTTTGGGAACCGAGTTGTGACAAGAATCATGCTGCCACTGGTCTCGTCCTTTTTGAATGGAGCTAACAGCTTTGCCCACTCATCACTACTGCTGCATTCCCAAGACAAGTAGAAACCTTTTGGATTTCAGCCTCTCTGCGATGGATTTCTGAAGCTGGTCTAAGTTGGTAGTTTCATTTGGTGTTCTATTTCCTTCATTTTCTGTTGCGGGTAGGCAGCTCAGGATCTCTTTGGTGAGCTTGAGCACATCAAAATTAGTCGATACACATATCCAGATATTAATATCAGGAAAACATTGTTTAATCCTTGTGTCATTGACGAGGTGCTGGGTGAAGGTAGTCTTTCCAATACCCCCTGGGCCAACTATAGGAAGAACAGACAAGGTTATACCACTCTGTGTCACACTGATAATCTCCTCTATAGTTTTCTCAAAGATGGCATCCCTCCCAAACAACTTCTCCTGTGTGATTTCAGAGCTTGTGTCAGGCCTTTTAGCGAAGGCAGGCATGTGTTGCTGAGGGTTAGTGCCTGACACTATCTTGAGCAAGTCAGAGACAGGAGTACAGTTAGAGTGCAGCTCCTCTAAGAGCTGCTTGATTTTGTTGGACATTGCCACCCTGTCAAATGGCAACTTTCCATCATGGCCACTGTGGTCAACAGACATGGCAATGGCATTGCTTGTGCTATGGGTGTTATGGACATCGTCGGTAGTAGCAACATCCTCATCTTGCGAACGGCAACAAGAGAAGCATGAGAACCAGTTACCAGAAGTGTGGCGAGCAGCATGGCAGGCATGCTGAGCTTTGCCTCTGAGGCCATCTCCCAACTCTGGAGTGGCCTCTCGAGTCCCATCGAGCTTGTCCTGGATCATGAAGTAGTGGAGCTCGTCCAGAGCGTCCTCAGCCTCGTCGGCCTTGTTGCTCAGGTCCTCGAGCAGACCCTTCAGGCCAGAGTTCCCAGCGAAGTCCCTCCCCTGGGCCGCCTCCAGCAGCCCTTTAGTGTACAGCATCTCCTTTCTGATCTTCACAAGGTTGAGGCCGAGCTCGGTGCTGAACACGTACGCTTTCAGCAAGTCATCGGACAGCTTGTTGAGGACTTGGCCGAGGAGCCAATTCGCCGCTCCGAGAGCCACCTCCATCTTCTCCTCCGGCTGCAGGGGTCATTGGTTTGAGTGGTGAGCACCAGTAAGAACAGTGTGCTTGAAAGGCTACATGGATTTTGTCCAAAAAAGAAGAAGAAGAAGGTGCGAGTGAAACGTTTGGTACCACTTCTTCTCGCTCCTGCTCGACGGCGCGCACGTCCTCCAGGCGACGCGAAGGCGGCCCTCGCCACCGTGGGTCTACCCTCGCTCGCTCCGCCTTCCTTCATTCGTCGTAGCCGCTGATCTGCACGACGCGCCCCGAGCTGACCAAATATTCGGCCTGATCTGCCCCTCCCTCGTGCCGCTGAGTCAAGGGATGGTCCTCGTGCGCCCCTCGTCGACGAGCTGCTGCTCTTCCAGCCGCGGAGCCGCCGGCGAGCAGGCCCAAGCGCCCCGCGCTGTGGAGCAGCAAGACGGGCGGCGTAGAAGAACTCTGATGTGCGCCGGGAACAACGGCAGCAGAGGAACGGTGGGTGGTGAGTAGTGTCTGGTGAGTAGGCGAAGAACAGTGTGCTGCCTGCAAAGGGTAGGCGTGGTGATCTGATCCGATTCCTTTATAGCTGCTCAGGTCATTTGGCCATTAAACACCTAGGGGTCTTTCGATAGTTGGATCCAGTTTTTACTTCCTCCGTTCCAAATCACTAACGTTTTTTCCTAACTTATAAATTTCTTTGACATTTATATTCTTTTTATATCAACCTTATTAAATTTAATATAACTCGGGTTTTGATAGAAACGTTATCTCAATATTTGATTAAAACTAATATCTAGTGTTTTCGGTAAGAGAAGTGTATATGTAAAATTAAAAAATATATGTGACGATACAAGAGGATTTATCCATACAAGTTCATGAACCCGTGCGAGCACGGTTAGAATCTTAGGAGACACTAACTATTAAAAATTATTTATATTAAATATTTTTTTCTCTTCACTAATGTTCTAAAATAATAGCTATAATAGGTACTATATAGTCTATATTCAGTTTTGATAATCTATCAATTATTGTTTTATGTACTTTTCATCCATATCCATCATTTTTTTCTTTACATAGCACCTCTATTATCTCCAATATACATTTAGTTAAAACATTTGTTTAAACTATGATGGCTTTAGCTGCGGTCTATATTTTTGACGATATGACCTAAATTTTGAGCTTATTAATTGCTCACAACTACTATTTTTTAGGTGATTATAGTCTACCAATTTAATGGCAAAATGTTTTAGGTTTTTGTAAGAATTTTAGGTTCTATTTTTTTTTATTTCTAGCGATTTCATGAGTAAAAATTTCTAGGATTAATCTTTTTTCTCTAGCATGATATGTGTTTAGTTGAAACATAAACGTAAAGTATATAAACTCTTATCGCTTTATGAGATATCATAAAAATCTACATTTTAACTTTCAGCTTTTGATCACGTGTTAATTTGAAATTCCAATGCTTATTGTATCGCTTAGTCAAAATTTTCATTTTTAATTTATTAAAAGAATATTCTAGGTCCTAGCCTAATAGCATAAATAGTTGTTTCAACATGTACCATGGCACCCAATATGTTGAATTTATTATATTGTACTAATATTGTTTTATCAAACAAATAATCCTTGGAATTAAATTACTAATATTCATATGATATAATGTTCCAATCAAATTGTTTAAACTTTTTTCGAGGCAACGACTTGCAAAATTTATTATCATGAGAATTAATATAACTTAAAGCAAAGTGTAAGTGTCATTACTATATGATTTGCTAAGGATATTTTCCCACTCTTGATAAGCCTATAAATAAATATTTATCCTAATATAAACATGTTTCCTTGGTCTATGTAGTGGAACATAGCTTTGTGCATAGTTTCAACTTACTACTGGCAGAAGTGTGTATTTCAAATAGCTTTGTGCATATATTGTACTCATGGATGTTGAACTATTTTTCATAATAGCATATATTAGCATTTACATGTAGATTTGAGAGATTTTGTTAATTTATTTGTAACCGTTGAGATGGATAATTTAGGCACAAATTATATACGTATATGTTACATTACATTATCTTTCATAGTGCCAGGTATGGTTAATTTGAATGCAAACTTAGGGGTCAAAGCAATATCTTTCGTAACGATAGAGGTGGATAATAATTTATAAAATAAATAATATATTATGGGATCAGTTAGTTATCTTTTATAATCGTGGAGGTTTGAGTTTTTCCATACATGCTTTATTGATAACTCCATAGATCATTGTCCATAATATTTGAGCATCATTAACATCTAAATCCAAAGTAATCTAATGGAGTTATTATCAAAGTGAACAAAAATAAATTATAAGTCATGGCCAATACGGATTATATCAAGACTTTTATGTTCAAAGTAATCCAAGACTCTTGCTATCATTTTTCACAATTCTTTCCCTGGTCTAATCTCACCTAAAGTTTTATTGACCATACCAAAACAGTATAAAATAAGTACTCGGAGAAGACAAGTTAAATTATAATTATGGGATGGCTAAATTTAGTACATCATAGGAGAGAAACTAAATTGTAATACGGGATCTAGCAAGATGGCCACACCTTTAGTCTGCATGTGCGGCCGGTGCCAGCGTGATCTAGATGCCGTGGACGCAGGACATTGTGGCACCTACGGCCTGCGTGTTCGCATCTGTCCCGCGCATACCACCGCCCGTCCACCTACTTGCTGAGTATGGATGCGTGAATGGCCTCCTTGCTCGCTTAGACGTACGCACATATGCATTCATGTCAGGCAGATGCATGCGTCAACATGGATGCATACGATTACGGTAGATGTAGTTGCGTGCCTCCGCCTAGTGCTCAGCCGGTTTTGGGTCATGCGCGCGTCCGATGACCGTGCCGACGTCCTGCCTCCTATCTTCACGTCACAGGCGCGCCCAACACCGGCAGGCCGGAGTCTACCGGCGATGTGTGACCCATTCATGTCGCGGCGCCTCTCACGATCTAGTGCCATCTCGATCATCTGGCTGTTGCGCGCCCAACACTTCTCGGCCAGAACTGTGACACCGGCCAACGTTGCATGCTGCCATGCTGCTATGGAAGATAGGATCGGAGAAGATAACAATCACATTAGTTTTCTCACCCATCACATTAGTTTTCTCACCAATTGTGCAGGATGACGTGAAGCCATCGCCCTTTCTTGTCCCTTGCTCTAGTCCCGATCGTCCATCTTGGTCTTGGCTCCTGCTCCGGATGCAGATGACCTGCGAGGCCGCCGCTCTTCTCGATGGAACAACGCCGACGGGTGCCTTTCTCTTCGGTACGGTGGTGAAGAAGCCAGGCGCCGCCAGGGCCGGATTAGGGGAGGTGCCGCGGGTTAGGGCCCTGAAGCCATGGGACTGTGGTAGGGAAAAATAATGTATTTCTTATCTTTTCTTTCTTTTCTTGGTACATAGATCTTAAAATAATGGATTTATTTTCTTCTTCTTTTTATCTATAATATAATGGCAGAGTGGATAATTTTCTAGAAAATAAAATAGATCTAATGGTTACATATCTAGAGCCTATAGATTTAATGGCTAGATTTTTTGACTAACGTGAGAATTTTTAGCATTTATCTTTTTTCTTAGTGCATGTCATGAGAATTAACGTGGAGGCTCCGTTATGGTCTCCAATTAGTAATAGTATGATATGATATCCTTATCATGAAAATAAAAATGACTAGCATTTTCCATGTTGATTATGATTATGATATAGACAAAAAACACTAAAATACTTGCCATGTTCATTATGCTTTCACTTAAGAATATTTTACCTCTTCCTAATTAGAGGCTCCTTTGGAGCTTCCACCTTACTTAAAAAATGCATTATACATAACAAGTAAACTTTACTTTTTCATAAAAAAAAACATAAGCATCCATCCATCAAACTTGTAAGGCATCAGTAATAATAGTTACCACTGGATCTATTATATTTAAAAAAAACTATCCAGTACAACCTTTATGAACGAGTCTAAAGTAATCCTTAATTTTTATCTAAATTTGTCACATCTATATCATATAAACACAATATACAATACCTTCGAAATCGATCTAAATTACACACTTATGCCACTATAAAAACTAAATAAATCAAATCCTAAATTACCCACATATAACATTAGGAAAAACAATTTAAAGCCCCTAAATTTGCAAATAAACTACTCACACCATTATTTATAAAAATAAAAAAAAAACTCTAAAATCTGCTACTAAATTACCCACTTATCTTATTATGAAAAATAATTTAAAGTATCATCCTAGCCCCTCCGTCACCATTCATCTGCTTGTGGATGCCGCCGAGGTTCGGAGCAACTCGCTAGGGGCCTGTTTGGCTTGATGAAGCACACTGCTGCTACTGCTGCTAACATGTGACACAAAAGCCTAGGGATGAAGTCGCCCCATCAATTCATCTACCAAACAAAACTGTTGGATCGAGACCTATCACCTAACACAATACTCTATCTATCACAAATTAAATATACATCTCGCATAAGGGCAGACGCAATGTTATTGTCGAGATCGGTAATAAGGTAGGGTCAAGGAGCAGGCGACAGCAAGCACGCACAATGTCCATCCAGTAATATGGAGGGGCCAAGGAGCAGACGATGGCAGGTATGCATGGTGCGTTGGCAGCGGGCGAAAGTGAGGGTGAGTGAGAGAATATGAATGAATTTTTATTCCTTGTTCCTTGTTACCGTGCAGTATGGTGGGGGCCAAGGAGCAGACGTACTCCGCCGTGAGCAGCTCGCCCAGCTTGGGGGCCAGGCCGGCCATGGCCCCCAAGGCGAGCTCCATGCTCAGCTCGACCGCTCAGTGGAGTGCTCTCACTCTCTCTCACTCTCTGTCTCTTTTGCTTGCTTGGTACATGCTCGTTGGGTGCATAGCAACAAATGCTGAAGCTAGAGATCTACGCTACCAAGATGTGCTGCATGAATTCAAATGTCTTTACGCACATGGCTACCTGCCAAGCACATCTCGATTTTCTAAAACAATGGAAAG